GAAAAGTTAGTTTTGTTTTATTTCAAGTGTAGTAATATGTACGCAGTAGAATCAAGACTAAAACTACTTGGTAAGATTTAGTGTCTTTAGTGTTGTATTTCCTGCTTTCCGTGCTTTTGTGTTTGATTGAATCCTGTGTATAAATCCAGCTGCTCTGTTCAATCTGTTAAAGAACATTTGTGACCCTCTGATCTCCAGCCAGGAAAGGGTTTTGGCATCAACCAACTCGCTCTGTGGTTACCTAGCAACAACCTGTTGAGTAACCTGCGCAGCAGCAGTTTCAGGTTTCAGCAGCTTCCCTTCATGCTTACGGGACTCATCTGCAAGTATATTTTTAGCAACATACAGGAGCTTCTTTCAAGTCAGTAATTCTTTAATATCGATGGAAAAACACCAGTTTATCTGGCAGATTATTTCACTTAAAAATGGGAAAAATGTTTTGTTACAACTGAAATAATCTGCCTCTGGAACTAGAACTTTTTAAAAACAATAGTAAGGAATTATTACTCAAAACGAGCTCCTATATCTTGCTGAAAAGTTACTTCTAATTTAGTTTTTGTCCAAAAACACTTGATAAGCTGTTTGTGCAGGTTAGTTGCCAGGTTTTGGATTCCACAGACGGAAAACACACAAGAAATCATCCAGGAAAATTACATCTAGGAAAAAAGATATTCCATCTTGTTTTGTTGGGACGCACCGATAACGACGCTGATGCCAGTTTCTCAAAGCTGGTTGTGATTATGCAGGCCAAGCTTCACCACACAATATTCATAACCCTGATATTCCACAACCCTCCCAAATGTCTTTCACTTTTGTTTTATTTTTGCGACATTTTAAATGTTTGCTCAAAATTTTCCTGACAATTGGACACAAACGCAGCCAATTTTTCAGATTTCAGTGCCTTTACCAGAATCCTCCTTTTGTTCCTGTTATCAATCTCTAGTTGCTGCTGTTACTTAATCTGACTGGGAAATACGTGCTTACCCACTTCTGCTTTCAAAGTTCCCCGTTTTTCTAACCTGCAAATTTGCTTTTGTTTTACTTTTCTGCTACTTTTCCAAGAACCTGTGTAGAGACGATGGTCTTAAATCAGCCATGCAGTTAACATTAAACAGATAAACTTTTACATTTTTCTTTTTTTAAAACATGCCGTCAAAGATTAATGTGCTCTACAGAGTATAGGGACGGGCATTTATTTGATCTTTTATCACCAAAAACGCATCGTCATGAGAACTTTGATTTAGTGTCTCGATAAATTTAAATATCAAATAAAACCAAACTGACAGCAGCATCGGAAATTAATGTGCATAAAAATGTTTTAAAATATAATTGAATGCAGTGAGTGTGGTTTATATCACTGAAATGCAGAAGTCTTTTGTAAGTTTAAATGTTTTTCAAGAACAATATTTGTTTTTCACTATAAATGCTGAGTCACAGTTATACACTTACCTAAAAACATGCAATACATTTTTAATCATAATTTTTATTATCACAATAGTACCACAAAATATCATAGTAAAAAAGAGCAGCAAGTCTTGCTGATAGTTTTTATTTTTTTTTTATCACTCTATGGAAATCAGATCTGGAATAAATTCAAGATTGTAGAGAGTGAAGATAGAGAGTCGGCATGAGAGATTATTCTCTTTCTAGTCTGAAAAAATTTGATTTGACTGATTTGAAGGACGGAAAAAGTTTATTTTTTGTTAAATTTACTTCTTGTTCCTTCTGTGCTTCCTCTGACTTAATTTTTAAAAACTTTTCTGATACAAGAAAAAAAAAAAACCCACCAAATCTCCATGCAATAAAAACTTCCACTCTGAAGAGTGTTGGTGCAGTCTGGTCCAACTTCCATTCACCAATCGAATCACATCTCAAATAAAAAGTTAAAGCTTCATTTAAACCCAACACATCTCGGCATCTTTCAGCACCGAGATCAAAAACAGGTTATTCACCGGCGATGCAGTCAGTCTGTTTTTAGTTTGTGTCTGTGAGTTTGAACTCTGTTCATGACTGTGACGGTGTGTCCCTCCCTCTGTCCCTCCAGGCTCTGAGCTCAGAGTTGGCGGAGGCCCGGGACGACACCAAGAAAACCCAGAACGACATGCTGCACGCCGAGAACGTCCGGGCGGGGAGAGACAAGTACAAGACGCTGCGCCAGATCCGCCAGGGCAACACCAAGCAGCGCATCGACGAGTTCGAGTCCATGTGAACGCGGTCGGTCGCATTGCCATGTCAACGCCTCACTTTACTTGTTTCAAAGCCCAAAAGCCTGCTTTCGCCACTCCGGGATCTTTTCTCTTTAGTTTTTTTTTCTTCTCTGCTCGTTTCGGCCCAGGAGGAAGAGCAGCAGCTGTGAGGCTTTTTTTTTTTTTTTTTTTTGCGAGTTCAGCCTCATTAAAGCTCTGCCTGCAAGCAGCTGGCCCATTGCACTCCTGTCTGCTACGAGAGGCTCCGCCCTCAACCTAACAAAGCACATTTAAAAAAAATAAAAAATTCAGCTGAGGGGGAAAAAAACCCAACAAAAATGTCAATCAGCAGATGTTGTCCTCTTGCACATCGCTGGTCATTTTAACGCTCGCATGTGTCGTAACTTAAACAATTACCAGACCCCGGCCTGATAAAACTTGAGACTGGACTGAGAATGGATGTGCTTTACTAAGGAAACTAGAAAAAGACAGAGGCCATTTGTAGCTGCAGCTCGCTGACGACGGTGGTACGCTTTAATTATGTACTTCTTTTGTCTTTAACACAACTCGGATTTCTTTTCTTTTGTTTTCTTGTTTTTAATTGCCTTATTTGACCGTTTCTTTTCCTTTTTTAGATTCCAGGTTCTTTGGGGACAGTCGCTGATGTTATTGTTTCGTTAACGTATTCATGAAATGAGTTTGCAAAGGTCACCGATATGCAAACCAGCGCTGCTCGTTTTTCATTTCTCTGTCCAATCAGACTTTTGTTCAAATATGTATTTTTCCCCATAATAATAAAGAATGACTTTATATTTCCAAATACGCAGCAGGGGTATGGTCCTCAGCAGAAGCTCATGGAGCTGATTTTTTTGCTTTTGTTTGTTTTGGGGAGAGTCAAAGCATGACATGGTTCTGAGTATTGATGAAAACTCAAAGAAATAAGCCTGGAATAGCTGCTTCAAGCCCGTTTGTCTTTTATGTTATCTATTATTAATTTGCATATTGGTAAAGTATGACAGATATAGTGCATTGTAATCTTTTTTTTAATAAAGTGAGAAAATATTTAATGGTTACGTATGATTTTAGACATTTAATAATGCCAGTCTTATGAATCCATTTCTTTTAACTTAATTAACTTTTCTTTTTTTAAATGTAAATTTGGTTAAATTGTGTTGATAAAAAAAACGCCTAGAATAATAATTTAAAAATAGTTTAAAATCTCAGCAATGTGAAAAGTTCAGGAACGTATTGAAGTGTTGTCAGGTCTTTATTGTCTCAGTTAAATCACATGCAGGACAGTCGACTGAATTCATGTTCATATCAAATCTCTTATCTTTGCAGTGAAAAAAAATTTTCAAAGACAAAAAACATATAGCCACTATGCAAGTGAAATTAACTCACCTTTAGCACTAAAACTTCAGAAAAGTTTCCTTTTTATTCAAACCAGTCATTTTTGGGGGGCTACAGAAATTTTTCAATTGCAACATTTGCTAATATAACATGGTTTTTATTTTTTGTATAATCCATAAAGCAGCCATTTTTATCCAGCGTCATTGATCATAATGATCTACCTGTAAGCACAGAAAAACCCTTTGGAGCCTCAGAATCCAGCATTGAAGCATATTTTACACTAAATATCTTTATATGTGAGCAGGATAGTTGGGAAAACGCACTTGAAAGAAATTGCTGGTACCCCTCAATGGTCCCTGAAGTGACTTGAAATGGACAAAAGTAACAACGTACAAGCTTGAAGACGTCTGTAATGCTAATTAGACGACCCGCCTCAGTGTAGCAGCTTTTGACGCCTTGCTAACACCTTTGTTCAGTCGGTGATGAGGCCTGTTAGGGGTTCGACTTTGCAGGAGTGTTGGAGGATCATGTTTTCAAGAGATGGCATTTTTACAAACCTGTTGGTTTTTGAGATGATCACGTCATCTCAAAAATATTGATTTAGCCGTTCAAGTTTAGACCTGCTCTGCCCTGACCTGGCAGCGCTTAAGGGAACCACGATGAGGGAGAAGAAAACAGCTTTGCGGTAGAGATAATTTCTTTATTTCAAACTACATTGTATTACAATCTGCTCCCAAAAGTACACTTCTTGCACTACCGTGATGTTGCAAAAAAAGGGAAGGAATAAAAATCCTTCTCCAATAAAAGCCTCGGTACGGCAGGTGGCAAACGTCGGCCACGCCGTCTAAAATATTCAGCTCGAAACCCTTTTGTTCAAACACTTTCGTATAAAACAATGACTTTGTTTTAAAAGACTTAAGGATACAATTTGTATCAACAAAGAGAGGTTTCATTCAGCTACTATAAATTATGCCAAGCAGGCATGAGTTTGTCCAGAAAGTTCCTCAAGAATTAAAGTAACCCAACTTCTGGGTACATAAACCTGAGTAATATTACTTTGAACAATTCCAGTTTCAAGTTACATTATATAATTTTAAGAAGAAAAAAAACAACCCAGTGATAACAGGGGAAACACATGAAACACTTAGGAGGAGGCTGGGTGCTAGTGTGTCGTTTTCACACCAGTTCTAGTTGAGCCCAAAACATTCAAACGCAACGCAGATTTTGATTTAATCTGACCAACATGTCTGTTTTCTAGTGGAGGTGATTTTGGATTAAGTCAATAGCAAAGGAGGCTTTCTAATCTCTAAGACTCTGAATTATTCACAATGATTAATCTTTTTTGCTGGAATGCCAACAAAAAAAAAACAGATATTTATGAAGGGTATAAATAAAGATGCATGCAATTTCTTAATAGAATGCAAGTAAAAATAGAAAATCTCAAAAATAGAAATAGACCCTTTGATTTTTTAACATTTTTTTCATAAAAACCTAAAGTTAATTTTGAGTCAGTACTTGTTGGGGTTTTGAATAATTTTGGGCTTAACTGTAGAGTCAAGGAAGGTTGACAGAATTAACAATAATTAATCACAATACAATAAATAAAACAGCAGAACATTTAGAAAAATAAAATCATGTCCACATTATTGTCTTATGAACGGTCTTGTAAGAATTTATATATATAGGAAATTATTGTTTCCACTATAATTGTGTACAGCTCAAACGTACGGTAACCAGTCTTAGACAAGAGAAAGTATTCCCTCTTTCATTTCTAAGGTTTAAACAAATATGGAAAAGATGCCACAGACGTTTGCACAAAAATAATACTAAAAAAAATTGTACTGGTAGATATCAATACAGTTATCCCAAAAAAAGTTGGAAATTTACAACAGAATCGCTAAAAAAGTTGCAGACTGCAGCTTTGCTGAAAAGCCGTGGTGGAACCTTAAAGGAGCAGAGCTCAAGTTTAACGACCTGAATCTGTTGGGAAGAAAATTTGTGCCAAAAATTCCTTCAAAACAACAAACATGACTGGAACAAACAGCCTCAAGGAAAATGACTGCAATTTTTTTTTCTGTTGCTAAACGTGATCCTAAAAGCTTTTCAATCATTTGTACTTCAATTCTTTTGAGCCCGGCTTTTCCACCTGGACTTCATCTCTGGGTACAAACGACGTGAGCGCCGAATCTGTTGTGCAGTTTTACTTCAATCTAACTCTTGAGGTTAGATTGAAGTAATCGTAAAACCAAAGGATTTTCATGTCATGATATGCAAACCATAAGACTGAAAGAGGTGCTTTCTTTTAACGTGACTGTTGGTTTCCATTGTCTACAAGCTGCTCGTCTGGTCAAATCATCTGTAGGTTTTCTTCCACAGGTTGCACTCAGCAGATACTGAAAGTCATGGTTAGAAGTTATTCCCCATCTCTGGAAGATTAAACTAGACAGAGACCCTGTGTCTTACGCATCATAGGCAATAAATTAAAATATTTTAAATAAATAAAAAAAAAACTATTCAGTATTAACATTTTGGCCCCATACTTTGAAACAATTTATTCTTTTGATACGAAAAAAGAGGGAGGATGTTTGTGGTTTTAGGAAAACAAAATCTGTGCTCAGACATGATGAAGTAGGAAGTTAGCTCACAGGGGAGTCTGAGCAGAGGAAATGGCTTTTTTTTCTCTGTGGTAAAAAACAGCTTGGGGTTTTCAAGTGGAGTTTTTGCTATCTCTTGTGGGTGCTGCTGAAGTTTCACTTCCCTGCGGGGGAAATCCACAACATCTCACAACGACCCAATGTGGCACCTGTCTCTGTGCAGACAGAAAAACCAGATCAGCAAGTCGAGCCGGCTGAACCAGAAATGCGATCGGAGCAGAACTGCATTTCCAACATAAAGAAGAAAGATAAGAGACATAAATATATTATTTTACGCAGGCTGTGTTGACGTTTCAAGAGAGACGGTTCAGTTTATACCCTGATATGATTGCCCCTATAGAAAAAGCTAAGACAAAAATAAAACACACACAATAACAGAAAGTGCCAAAAACTTAATTTCAATAACTTAAAATATAACAAATAAATACGAAGAAGTGTCCCCCATAAACTGTCCATTATGAACTATTATGACAACAGTTTAATCCCAAACTTTTCCCATTTTAAGTGCTGAAATAAAAGACGCATTTAGACAAAGATATGGTCGTTTTAGGACTTCTATTTGCAAAGATACCATTAGATGAACAGCTTCCCCAAAGCCACAGCAGGGTTTCATTGGTGACTTGATTGGAAGAAATCAACCTGAGAAGTTTTAAGAAACATGCTGCAATTTCTCCATCAAAATCGAGGCTGCAAGCTCTTGAGCATCCGTCATGTGAGGGTTTTTGGCCATCACCTTCCTCACCAAATCTGGTGGGAAGATGGCACATAAGTTGACGAAAACCCTCTCCCTCAGGTCCTGGTACTGACCCGAGGAAAGATGCCCCGAGTAGTGGCGCTCGTTCTGCAGGTGACTCCTGTGAGTGGCAATGGACCTGAGGGACTGCTGTGGGGGCGGTGGGACACTTGAAGCCGACAGACCGTGGGGGGATGATGGGAGCTGCTGGACCCAGGGGGTGTGCCAACCCTTGCCGTGAAGTGGGGGGAAGCTCTTGTAGGAAAACAGATCATAGCAGGGCCTGGTCGATGGCTCGTGGTGGGAATCCCAGTGCGTCTTATGCTGAGGGTGCTGGGTTGACCCAGAGTAGTTTCTTCTACAGTTAACTGGTGATCCTTTGTATGTTGTGGAGTCCTGGAGGTCACCTTCCCACAGAGCCGACGCGTTCGGACCGAAGGGTGAGTTCTGGGAATGAGGATGAGCAGCAGATGTTTGAGGTAGACGAGGTGGTTGTTCCCCCGGATAGTTACCTAAAAGTAGATGCTGATGCTGTGGTACGATGTTTGCTGAAGTGGTCTTGCGATGGCGTGGAGATGCGTGAGAGCTGACTGGAAAAGGAAGTTCTTCAGAGACAGACGCTTGAGGTCTTTGAGTAACAGAGTATCCATAAGGGGAATGCTGGCCCATTCCAGGGGAAACCCGGCTTGCCACATGACCATACGAGCCACTATAGTGATGATGGTAGTGAGGAAGGTGATGTTGGCACTTAGGGCTGTTGTCTGACATAGAGTCAGGGGAAAAGGAATCTGAGCTAATGCTGCCGTCGCTGCTGCATTCGGATAGCAGGGAACCTGCTTGCAGATCAGTGGTTAAGAGACTTTCTGGGGTCTGTGGTACCATAAGACGGAGACCTGAATAGGCCTTGACCAGAGACCTGCAGCCCCCCTCTGGAGAATCACATCTGTTGTAAGTTTCGACTAAACCCAAACTGTAGGCTCCACTGCTTTCCTCGAGTTGCGCCCAGATGTCCAGATGTCCTAGTGAGTGGGACAACCCTGATGAAGTATGTCCCCCGATGACGTGGCTTCCCTTGTACCTTTCTGGTTTGGAGAAACTTTGGAGTCTGTCCTCAGTGAGGTCAGAGGGCGCACTCCGAGGACTCTGGTTTGGTAGCTTACTGTCGGCTTCAGGCATCTCTTCTGGTTGACTGCTGCTTTGGCTCTTTGCCATCATCGTATGTTCCAGCAGGCCTCTGGAAGTTACTGACGATATTCTGGCGCTGGCACGGAGCTCATCGGCCACCGAGCGTTGGGGCTGGCTGCCTCTTTCTGGGTGGTAAAATTTACACTTGTGGCCATATGTGCACTTCTTCCCTAGGGAACAAAGAATATATATATTTTCCTCATCAGTGGACTAGAATCTGAAAAATATCAGTACTTCTAGTTAATGTTTATCAAAAATACTGCAGCTCCTGCAGTGTTATGGTCACGTTTCTGACTTCCTCCCTGACCATTTCAGTCCTGTCTTTTTGATCAATAAGGGAGAATCACTTCCTGATTTTTTGTCCCAACAAGTGGACAGCGTATCTGGAATGCTATGAATTTTCTTGCATCATTGATACCTTTGAACAATGAAATTCGTTTTATCCTTTGTAACCTCATTCCAGTCTCTGGAGAAAAAAAACATGAAATACACACATATATATGTATCTATATCTGTATATACAGTACCATAAGGACAGGGCTGCTTCCTGGGTTCAGGAGCAACTGGCCTCTTCCTCAGGAAGTTTTCCAGGCTCGGTCCATGGCGTCCAAGAGGATCATCTGGAGGCATGAATCTAGTTGCACAATTCATAAAATTAGGCTCAAATTAGAAGAGTTCAAACACACAACAGCCAAGGTTCACCTCTTTTCTTTTGCAATCAAAATCTCATTATCCAAAAATCGAGTGTGCTGAACAAGTTGCTCTTCCCTTTCCATCAGTTTAATAGCCCTCAATATTCCTGCTAATATGGAAACTTTATCCAAGGAACGTCCCAAATGTTGTTTTCGGTGGTTTCCTTCAAGTTGATTTAATTAAAGGGAAAGGTTCCTAGAAAAGGTTGAGGCTTAGTTTATGTTCTGTCACTGACTGGATTTGCCAATAGATGCTTACTTGTCATTGACAAAGGAGTACATCAGCAGGCGCTCATCAATGAACTTCTTCCACTCTGGCTTCTCGTTGGCTAGGTCTCTGTAGTTGTCATTGGAAACGATTATGCCATCGGATTCGTATGCCAGTTTGACGATGAATCTGTCATCATAGCAAACCACACGTCGCCCCTGAACGCGCCGAGATGGAGTGAAAACCAGTATCTTGTCTTTCTCTAGTCGCCTCAGGATCTCTTGATCTACAAAAAGAGAATGGAGGACAAAACAGACAGAGGAAGAAGTTGATCGGCTCTTGGTTTTGTCTCATGGAGGATGAAGTCTCCCTCCAGCAGTTAAGGTACATGTGTCATGCAAGGATTTAAAATATTCCTGAAAGCGGCGGTGGGCGATACCGGTGATGAGAGCATCAGGTCGCGACTGCTCCTTTCTCCAGGCGGGGACAAAAACCGTGATGTCACGGTGACCTCGATCCAAGAACCAGTCAACAGCCAGCTGGATCCCTTGGCATGAGAACACTTCCTTATTTCCATGACTGGATTGGCAGAAAGAGATATAAGGTACATTTATATCTAAACTGGAAGACTTTACATTGTACCATGACAGTGAGGCGAGCTGGAAAGCTCTTAAGAATGGTTGAGCTTCAGTCTTTTCAGTTTAGCATACCTAGCAATCAGTCACTGACATTTTACCTCTCCCACAATGCATTTGTGATTAACACAGGCACAGTGCCTTAGGAGTGAATTGAAAAATGGTTGTACTTCAGCACGAAACTATTGAAACTGAAACATTCACCATCTAGGAATCCAGAGTATAAACACCAGGAAATTCCCTGAACCTGTTGTCCTGAAAGATCGACAGAAAAACACTAAAAACACACATACAGTAAGTGGTCGATGAGTCCAATGGTAAATTTTACCTTATCCATCACTTCAACTAGCTTACGCCGCATGGGGGACCTTTGGCAAAAAATCATATCCAGTTATTGTAAAAAAAAGAAAAAGAAAGAAAGAAAATCACGGAAACTGAAAGTGCATCGGCCTTTTAAATGACGTCCCATTCTATGAAGGAATGCTGACCATTCCTCAGTAAACTGAGAAAAAATGTTGCTCAGTTTTTTGCTTGCTTTTCTGTAAGACTGACATTATTTGCCAAGATTAAAAATTGTCTGTCCAGGTTGTCTTAATGTTAGGCTTGATTGACATTTCTGGTGTCAAAGTTAGTCTCCTGTTGAAAACTCAGCATGCAGCCCATCATCAAGAGATCACAACCATGCATTGTTGAGTATCTCAAATCTTGCATTCAGGTCCCAAAAGACCAACCAGAGCTGTTTGGTTTGCTTGATGCATTCCAGATTTTGTTTCCTGATACCTTTACCAGGTGTGAAAGCCTTTATCTGAACTCAAATAAACTCTACTACCTCTGAAAAAGTGAGTCTTACTACAATGGAAATGTATTAGACATGATTTATGAATATATCTCTGATGTCAAAGCTTGAAATCCTTTTCATGCCATGGCTTGGTGTAACCCCAGCAGGATGCCATGCTCTCTGCCTCTCTGCTCTGTTTTCTGCAGTATTCTCAGCAGGCAGCTGAGAATACTGCTGCATGCTTCAACAGGTGAAGCCGCTCAACGCTTCACCTGTTGCTCATCCTGATCTTGTTTGGTCCACTGTCAGGACTGAGAAAGCCTACAACCCCCCTAAAAAAGTTCTCAGGTCTTTTGCAATCAAAGCGAATCTATAAACAGCCATAAAACAAGAAGAGGAAATAAAAGACTTCATATTTTTGAGCACATTTTAGCTCAATGTGTCTTGGAGAATGCATGTTTTGGAAATGTTAGCAGCCATCTTGGAAGACATTAAGCTAGGAATCTTTACAAACTACAAAATCCTGCTGCAATTAGCATTGTGCTAATTATCTTAACTTCTAGCAGATTTTTTTGAGTCATATTTTTATTTTCTTGCCTTTGTTTTAATAATTTGATGAAACCCCTACCTTCTCTTGTCAATGTTTTTCTGCCGAGTATTCAGAGTGGACAGCAGTAGTTTGTATTTGAATCGCTGTCAAGTTCAGAGGTTTGTGGGGCCTGGCAGGTTCTCCTGCTCAGCTCTTCGTACAGCGACTCCCTCCTATTTGTAATCCAGTTTTCACAGATTCACCTATGCGTGGATTTGTCTGTGAAGCCGAACTCCAAATTATCTTTTGGAGTAACTTTGTAGATCTGGTTTAAAATATTCAAGAAAAAGCTAATGCTACTTCACATAACATTGGCTGGCATTTACAAATCAGCCAATTGAGAAGTGCCATTGATTTTCCTTGCTTCTGATTGGCTAAGCCTCCAAAAACAGACTTGTGGATGTTAGCTTCTGCGTGGTCCGCTGTGCATATTAATGCATGTTAAAGTATATTTAGTGTTTAGACTATTAAAATAGGCAGCTAGAAGCTCCACACTTTAGATAAAAAAAGATTTCAGACCAGAAAATATATCCAAATATATACATTTAAGATCACATCACAATTCTAAAAAAAAAAAAAAAAAATCAGATTTCAAAGCTTCAGTGTTTGTTAATGTCAAAATTCAGCTAGAGGTGAAACCTCACTGAAAAACAATGATTTCCTTTTTCAAATAAATCTGGTGTTCTAGTGTGAGCTGCTGTCCTCTGTTTGCGGAGAAAGAAGAGCTCTGCTCCTCACCTCATGGCTACGTTGCTGCCGTCTAAGACGACGGGCCGAAAGTTGTCTTTGTCTTCCAGCAGCGGCGAAGGGGACGGCAGCCGACAGGACTCCAGGGACGAGCTGGAGGCCAAGGAAGACAAAGAGGAGGAAGGAGACTGGGACACAGCTGGACCTTTCTGCTGCTCCATCTCTGTCTTGGTTCCCAGTTTGACCAGTTCTCCCAGAATGTCGTTAATAAGTGCGTCTGGGCCCAGTTTCCTCAGGACTAGCAGCACCAGATCCTCGGCGTAGCCCAGCTTCAGAGCGAACTCGACCTTGGTGCGGCAGTCCGAAACAAGGTCCGCAGGCGCTAGCGCTTTCGACCGGGTTAGATCTCCTGTGGACAGGTGTGGCGCCAGGTCCAGCCTGACCTGCTTGCACTGCAGAGAGGAGCTCCGAGGTAAGCCCAGCTGATCTCGGTGGGAGACGTTGAGCCCGGAATCGGAGATAACCTGATGCTGTTCTTCTTCATTGTCAGAAATGGCGCTCTCCTCCGAAAAATTGCTGCAGCTGCTGCTGCTGCTGTAACTCAGGTTTGTACTCAGACTGTTGGTGCTCCCGCCGATACTGTAGCCGCTCCTGCTTTGGGCGCCGCCTCGGACCTGCAGGACGTCGGAGGCCTTCAGAGTGTTTGGGGGCGTCTGCTTCTCAGCACCATCCACATGGAGATAGTCCAGATCCAGCCCCAGGCTGAGCATGTGGCCAGTTCCATCCTCCAGATGGTCCTTCAGGCCCATGAAGCCTCTTCATACATCCAGCTCCTCTTCCTCTGTGAGCTCCCAGGCACCGGATCAAGCCCACACCAGTATCTGGTATCTGACCGCTCACAGACAGGCCCTACAAGGAAAGCAAGGAGGAAAAACAAAACAAACTCGTGGTTAGTTTTAAGGGAAATGCTGCAGAATTTGCGCATTGATTTGTATATTCAGTGCTACTTTATGGAAGCTGAAAGAACTTGTAAATGGATTAAGTCAGAATACCTGAAGTGAAAGAAACAGTTTGATTTCAGGGTTGTTCTCCCAGTGCACTAAACGGCCTAGGACCACCTCTGCTTTTAATCCAAACAAGCTGCTGCTGGCCACGGCCCCTGCATCCCCCACTCTACATTTACACTCACATGTGGAAATGGCTGCAAACAGACTGGCAATCATACAAACGTACATCTTTGAAAAGCAAATGCATCGCTTCCTGCACAACCAGCAAGAATGCAGCAAGTGGTTTCTGGATGGCAAGTCAACGACAAAACATTTGATTATTCCAGCAGCCATTGCACAGTGCATACAGCCGTAAAACCCAGATGACCAAACATGCTGGAGCTCCACTTCGGTTGCTAGGTGATGGCACAATGCCGGTTGATTAACAATCGGAAGGCTTTTGAAAACTCCCGATTGTCAAAAACATCTCAGTTGGACATTTTTAAGCACTTGGACTTTAGAAGCAATTGGGACCCAAATGGAAGTATGAAAACATGCAAAAAGTGTTGTTTTGTTTCTTTAAATTGGACTTAGATGTGTGTGTGTGCTTGCGCGTGTGTACCATGCCTAATCAGGATTTGCTTAGACAACTCCTCCCTGCTACACCTGCCCTACTTACCTATTGGGATCTCTAGGAATGTGTGATATTAGCTTGCAAAAGCAGACAGTGCATGTTTAAACTGCGATTAAAAGGAGAGTAAATATTCCAGGTGGTCATGTACCTCCTCATTTACTTGTCGTTAAACTTGCAATCATTTGCATATTTGCACTGATGAGCTATACTGCCAAATAAAATGACAGTTGTTTGTTATTCTGAAAAAGAAAACCAAAAGCAAACACAGACTAGGACAAAATGTAATCAGTTGGTCTTGATGAGAAGTAAATGTGAACTCAGATGAAGTATAAAACTAACACGGCAACAGAAACTAAACCAAAAGTCAAATCAGCGTAGTGAGCATGAGACGTTCTTCAGGAACGATTTGGGTAACACTTTATTTGAAGGGGTGTGCATAAGACTGACATGACACTGTCATAAACATGAAGGAGTCTTTATGAATGTTTAGGACTGTTGTCATGAAGTGTCATTAGGTAAATAATGACACTTTTAATGAAAAGTTGCTCTAAAGTTGCATTAAAAATGCCAACTTTGCATTAAATTATCATAATTTACAAAATCATGCAAAGTTGGCACTTTTATGCAACTTTTAGAGCAACTTTGCATTAAAAGTGTCATTATTTACCTAATGACACTTCATGACAACAGTCCTAAACATTCATAAAGACTCCTTCATGTTCATGACAGGTGTTATGTTTTTGTCAGTGTCATGACAGTCTTATGCACACCCCTTCAAATAAAGTGTCACCATGATTTGTTTGATCCCTTCAGGTTTCTGAGTTTCAAACAGGTTTGTAATTATGGGAATAAACCAGTAATCTGTAGATGAGTAAGATATAATTTTCTAACAAGTTTTTCAGGCGTTATTGGGAACTATTAAGTGGAAAACTATGAAGTCACATAGTGAAATTAAAAGTATCAACCCCAAACTCCTCCACTGTAAGCATTAGAAAAAAAAACCCATGAAATTTTATATTAAATCTCCAAATTATTAGAATAGTTTCTCTGAAAAAAAAGCAACATTTAAGTCCTTTTCATAAGGAACATAAAGTAATGTTCCGTGTCAACAAGATGCGAAACCTCCAGACTGAAAGATCAACCTTTGGACCAAAGTCAGATGTGTGTCAGTGATGCAAGTTAAAAAAAAAAAGAAAAAAACAACTGCCGCAGCATATTTGCCTCTTTGGTAATCTGTCAAAGCCCAGGCACAAGTGTGATAAGAGTTTTCATCCTCTTTAGTTTACAAATAAACAGAGCACACCTGCGTCGCTTTACGTTTAAATTCTTAAGCCACCTTCGTCTGAAATGTACCCACACCTACAGAGCAGCTGAAGGGTTAAGTTTCATCTGATTGAAATCAAAACCACAACAAGTAGGTTTGTTATATGCCCAAAACCTCAAAAGAACATCTCCTGAATTTGTGACTGCAGACCAACTGGTATACATTTGGACAGCCTGTGCGTTCAGAGACGGTTCTCCTGATGCCCTGTGGTTATTTGGGCCACTCATTACATCCAACCCTTCTGCACATCCTCTTCTGACTTTTGACATCAACATGGCATTTTCTTCCTCAAGGTTGCCGGTCACCGACTGTTTTCTTCTTTTCAAACAATTCTCTGTCGACCCAAAAGGTGACTTTGCATAAAACTCCAGGATGTTGACCGTCACATGTTGGATTCAACTAAAAATCCCCCAATTTCCCCTTTCTGCTGCGATTTGTCTCCAACACGTCACGATCCCAAGTGATTTTGATACCTTAATAAGCAAATTGCACAGTTGTACAATGACTGTAAATGTTAATTTGAGCAACTTGCAACTCGATATTGTGGTTTGTTTTACTGAATTCCCCCCCAATATGCAGCGGGCTAAGACGAACTTAGAAAACAGGCAACAAAAACGTAGCAGAAAAGAACAAGTTGACATAAATAAAAGATTTTCTGAGTTATGATTTTATAAGTTAGTCAAGAAATGTAAGGATTCATAGAGTTATTCTAATAGGAAGATATAAGGACGTTTTATGAACTGCTTTTTGAACTAACCGGTTTCTATTCAGATATGTCGAACAACTTTGTAGCACTCTAGAAAAAAGTAGCACCGTGTTTTGTTTGCAAATGTCCTGACCACATATTTAAAACAAATAAACAAAAACTTAAGGCTTTAAATAATGGCTCTTTCTGTTGCTACCGGATAATTCCCTGGATTTGGGTCAGTCTTTTATTCGCTCGACGTTTAACAAACCTGCGTCTGTTCGACTGACCTCCTGTTAGTTGTGATTCAGCTCATACCGTAACATTCAGCCACAAAGGAGCTGACAGTTACAGACGAGTCATTCGATAACTGCGCCTATTTCGACTATATTGGCCTCTTTCCTTTACTTTCTGTCGCTTTTCATACCAACAAAAAGCCTGTTTGCTGCGTAGGTTTTTGCTGGTGTGTGGAAATACCCTTTAGTTTATAGGGTACTTCCGAACCATCACAGTGGTTTGTCTTCAATTTTCTCTGATTGTATCAGATGCTCGCGGATGTGCTCGAGACTGAAGAGACAAGAGGTGGCTGACAAAAAAACCAAACAAAAAAGTAGGACTGATAAACAACATGAAAATACAGCAAGAAGTGACATTTTAGACTGCAAATTGCATTTTAGTCATTTTACTAAAAGTTAAAAAGAAAAATCTGGCGGTATTCAGAGGTAGTAAATCAGTTTTCCTTTCTAAAAATTTCAGCTTTACCTGACCTGCTTTCTCGGAAATTTGGGTTCCTCCATTTTATTTAAAAAAAAAAAAAAAAAAAACTACGACGGTTCCTTTGAAGCTTCACGGTGAAGTGTGAAGGAGCAGAAAAGAGCTGAGCAACGGAGTGGATTTTATTTAATTTATTTTTACATTTGTGTCAAAAACGAAACACCAGGGGGGGTCCTGGAAGTTCGTCACGCCACAGTGGAGCCTGATCTCACTGCCTGACTTAAACTAGCAATACAAGCTAATAAGAGAATTTGCGCCATTTGTATTCTGAAATAATAAGAGATCGGCACACCATTACATATTTCTTTCTACGCGTTTCTATTTATTGTCGATAAATAGTAAACCATTTATCAATAAATAAACTTATTTACTTAAAATAGCACAACTCTCTACTCACAAGCATTAAATGCTTCTTTTGATCCTAAATAGTTGTCCCAAAATGAAACTAAAAGATTGTACTCTCCAGGCTTTTGAAAACTTTCTTCTGGCTCGTCGAATAATATGAACTCTGCAGCTCCAGGTGTAGTTATGTGGATCGTCCCACTGCCCGGTAAATCCTGATTATAAGAGAAGTCTTTTTTTTTTTTTTTTCTTTT